CCTACATCAGTGGTTCCCAACTCCAGACCTTGAGTACCCCCAACAGCAAACATTTTTGTTGTAGCCTCGGACAAACATACAGTGGCTTGCAAAAGTATTCACCCCCTTTGGCATTTTTCCTATTTTGTAGCCTTACAACATGAAATTAAAATACATTTTTTGGGGGTTTGTATCATTTGATTTACACAACATGCCAACCACTTTGAAGATGCAAAATATTTTTTTTGTGAAACAAACAAGAAATAAGACAAGAAAACAGAATACTTGAGCGTGATAACTATTCACCCCCCCAAAGTCAATACTTTGTAGAGCCACCTTTTGCAGCAATTACAGCTGTCTCTTGGGGTATGTCTCTATAAGCTTGGCACAACTAGCCACTGGCAAAACTCCAGCTCCTTCAAGTTGGATGGGTTCCACTGGTGTACAGCAATCTTTAAGTCATAACACAGATTCTCAATTGGATTGAGGTCTGGGCTTTGACTAGGCCATTCCAAGACATTTAAATGTTTCCCCTTAAACCACTTGATTTTTGCTTTAGCAGTATCCTTATGGCCATTGTCCTGCTGGAAGGTGAACCGCAGTCCCAGTCTCAAATCTCTGGAAGACTTAAACAGGTTTCCCTCAATAATTTCCTTGTATTTAGTGCCATCCATCATTCCTTCAATTCTGACCAGTTTCCCAGTCCCTGCCGATGAAAAACATCCACACAGCATGATGCTGCCACCACCATGCTTCACTGTGGGGATGGTGTTCTCAGGGTGATGAGAGGTGTTGGGTTTGCGCCAGACATAGCGTTGTCCTTGATGGCCAAAAAGCTCAATTTTAGTCTCATCTGACCAGAGTACCTTGTTCCATATGTTTGGGGAGTCTCCCACATGCCTTTTGGCGAACACCAAATGTGTTTACTTATTTATTTATTCAAGCAATGGCTTTTTTTCTGGCCACTCTTCCGTAAAGCCAAGCTCTGTGGAGTGTACGGTTTAAAGTGGTCCTATGGACAGATACTCCAATCTCCGCTGTGGAGCTTTGCAGCTCCTTCAGGGTTATCTTTGGTCTCTTTGTTGCCTCTCTGAATAATGCCCTCCTTGCCTGGTCCGTGAGTTTTGGTGGGCGGCCCTCTCTTGGCAGGTTTGTTGTGGTGCCATATTCTTTCCATTTTTTAAATAATGGATTTAATGGTGTTCCGTGGGATGTTCAAAGTTTCTGATATTTTTTTATAACCCAACCCTGATCTGTACTTCTTTACAACTTTGTCCCTGACCTGATTGGAGAGCTCCTTGGTCTTCTTGGTGCCGCTTGCTTGGTGGTGCCCTTTGCTTAGTGGTGTTGCAGACTCTGGGGCCTTTCAGAACAGGTGTATATATACTGAGATCATGTGACAGATCATGTGACACTTAGATTGCACACAGGTGGACTTTATTTAACTAATTATGTGACTTCTGAAGGTAATTGGTTGCACCAGATATTATTTAGGGGCTTCGTAGCAAAGGGGGTGAATACATATTCACGCACCACATTTCAGTTATAATTTGTTTTGAATGTTTTGAAAAAAGTTATTTTTTTAATTTCACTTCACCAATTTGAACTATTTTGTGTCTGTCCATTACATGAAATCCAAATAAAAATACATTTAAATTCCAGGTTGCAATGCAACAAAATAGGAAAAATGCCAAGGGGGATGAATACTTTTGCTAGGCACTGTAATAAATTAAAGCATAATGATAAGGGGGACCTCTGGTGGTAGATGTGGGGACTGTACTGTAAATAGTAAATACAAGTTTTTTTGTGCACTGTATTGTCAATTATGCTGCAAAAATACACCGAAGCTCGATACTTAAATGCTTTAAATGATGTAAAAACAGAGTAATAAAGATTGACATCTATTTCTCCATCAACTTTGTTGTTCTTTGTGTCAAGTGTGACCAGTAATATGTTGATATGACATTCAGTTAATTCATTCCTACAAAGCTGGATGATGGTTCTAAAATATCCTACAGTGATTTCAGTGCTAGAGAAGGATTAGGATTAAGCACAGGTGTTTATTATATATAATATATCATTTCAAATGAATGTAAATTGTGCTTCATTTACTATCGGAAAATACCCCAAGACCAAAGTCCACTATGTTTATCAGTCAAAGCCTGCAAACCAATAGAGGGCAACATTGTTGAACAGGCTCAGTTAATGTAAAACCAGACACAGCTTCCTTATTAGTGGTTGTGGAGGTGGAGTTTGTGGTACAAATAGGGAAGTTTGTGCCTTTTTGAAGTGATTAATACATTTAACATTTCTTCCTCATAACAGGTTTTAATATTACTGTAAAGTGCTCTTATTGTAGCCTTGTCTTCTATACTTATTGTGGAGACATACCTTCAGTCTGAATCACAGACATTTAAAAAATCAGAAGAGATGGAACACGCTGCAGTAATTTCTCTCACCATTGCAATACTCTCAGGAGCGATTTAAAGGGACAATCAGCAGTTGAAACAATAACAAAGCATTATCCTCACCCTTATTTTGATAAAAGCTGAGGGATGGGGCTGGAGAAATGCTACCACTCTCAATTTCATAAACCGAGCTATGGATGTAAGGACTGACCATCCATGATATCAAAAGTATAGTTTTAACCATGTTTTGAGACTTAATAGTGTTTAATTACATTTTGATTATAAACATTGGAGTAAAACAAGCTTTTGGGATCTGATGGGGAACTACAGTTGAACTAAGCTCATGAAGCATGTATAAGTTATATTCTTTAAGAATCAATAGGTACATATCATTAACTTATAAGTCCAAAAATTGATGTAGAATCTGTAGATTGCCCCTTTTAAGAGGGACAATTGATCTAAAAAAGGAGAAGTAAGTAGAGAAAAGTGCAATGGACATAAATTGTTATTCAGTTTTGGATCACTTTTATGGAGCTACTTTTATAAAAATAAAAAAATACATTTTCATTGTTCTTCAATATTCACAAATGTACCATATGAATGGCATAATCTATTCACCTTTGTATGACGCCTGATATTAGTGACAATCCCTTAAGTACAGTGGGGGAAAAAAGTATTTAGTCAGCCACCAATTGTGCAAGTTCTCCCACTTAAAACGATGAGAGAGCCTGTAATTTTCATCATAGGTACACGTCAACTATGACAGTCAAATTGAGAATTTTTTTTCCAGAAAATCACATTGTAGGATTTTTAATGAATTTATTTGCAAATTATGGTGGAAAATAAGTATTTGGTCACCTACAAACAAGCAAGATTTCTGGCTCTCACAGACCTGTAACTTCTTCTTTAAGAGGCTCCTCTGTCCTCCACTCGTTACCTGTATTAATGGCACCGGTTTTAACTTGTTATCAGTATAAAAGACACCTGTCCACAACCTCAAACAGTCACACTCCAAACTCCACTATGGCCAAGACCAAAGAGCTGTCAAAGGACACCAGAAACAAAATTGTAGACCTGCACCAGGCTGGGAAGACTGAATCTGCAATAGGTAAGCAGCTTGGTTTGAAGAAATCAACTTTGGGAGCAATTATTAGGAAATGGAAGACATACAAGACCACTGATAATCTCCCTCGATCTGGGGCTCCACGCAAGATCTCACCCCGTGGGGTCAAAATGATCACAAGAACGGTGAGCAAAAATCCCAGAACGACATGGGGGGACCTAGTGAATGACCTGCAGAGAGCTGGGACCAAAGTAACAAAGCCTACCATCAGTAACACACTACGCCGCCAGGAATTCAAATCCTGCAGTGCCAGACGTGTCCCCCTGCTTAAGCCAGTACATGTCCAGGCCCGTCTGAAGTTTGCTAGAGTGCATTTGGATGATCCAGAAGAGGATTGGGAGAATGTCATATGGTCAGATGAAACCAAAATATAACTTTTTGGTAAAAACTCAACTCGTCGTGTTTGGAGGACAAAGAATGCTGAGTTGCATCCAAAGAACACCATACCTACTGTAAAGCATGGGGGTGGAAACATCGTGCTTTGGGGCTGTTTTTCTGCAAAGGGACCAGGATGACTGATCCGTGTAAAGGAAAGAATGAATGGGGCCATGTATCGTGAGATTTTGAGTGAAAACCTCCTTCCATCAGCAAGGGTATTGAAGATGAAACGTGGCTGGGTCTTTCAGCAAGACAATGATACCAAACACATGCCCGGGCAACGAAGGAGTGGCTTCGTAAAAGGCATTTCAAGGTCCTGGAGTGGCCTAGCCAGTCTCCAGATCTCAACCCCATAGAAAATCTTTGGAGGGAGTTGAAAGTCCGTGTTGCCCAGCGACAGCCACAAAACATCACTGCTCTAGAGGAGATCTGCATGGAGGAATGGGCCAAAATACCAGCAACAGTGTGTGAAAACCTTGTGAAGACTTACAGAAAATGTTTGACCTGTGTCATTGCCAACAAAGGGTATATAACAAAGTATTGAGAAACTTTTGCTATTGACCAAATACTTATTTTCCACCATAATTTGTAAATAAATTCATTAAAAATCCTACAATGTGATTTTCTGGATTTTTTTTTCTCAATTTGTCTGTCATAGTTGACCTGTACCTATGATGAAAATTACAGGCCTCTCTCATCTTTTTAAGTGGGAGAACTTGCACAATTGGTGGCTGACTAAATACTTTTTTTCCCCACTGTATTTGTTAATAATGTATATTTTGTATCTATGTTATATTAAGAATAATTGAGACAATATTGATTCCTGATGGTGGTGGTTAGTTATAGGATATGTAGTCCCTCCTACTGAGGAAGCATCTTAAACTAACCTATTTTCTATATAAAGGTACAAACTTCTATTTCGACAGCCTGAACCTGACACTGTTGGTTGGGCTGGAGAAATGTAATCACTGTCAAATTCAGGGTTTGAAAGTTCTGTTTTAACAATGATGGATTATCAAACTGTTGCTTTACTAAATACCTCAACACCAAAGTCCAGTATTGTTGTCTATATAATCAGCATACTATTATACCAGTAGAGGGCAACACTGTATGACAGGGAAAACCTCACACAGCTTCCTTATTGAAACGTCATTGCAGTTATTCATTTGTTCCGTTGTGCTGCAGTATCACTTATGAAGACATTTTAAATCAATTTTATATAATATTTTGATCACAAAGCAAAGAGTCTGGTATTACTGAATACCCTTATTATTTGTTTGGACATATTCAATCTGAATCACCAACACTTGTTACATCAGGAGAGATGAAAGCAGCTACTGTAGTTTCTCTCACCATGGCAGTACTTTCAGGTAAGTCTTTACCTGCCGTTCTCCACAGACACAGACACAGACACACAAAGGTAAAACGGGGATGTTAACTGCATAGTGGAGAGAGGTGCAAGAGAAGTGTTTAGCTTTTAGTTATTAGTTTACCTTCATTGTTATTTTTCTTCTCCCTACCCAGCTACCAAAATTACTTTCCAGGACGTGACCACAAAGTTATTTTAGTCACTACATAAGTCATGATAACATTATTGTGAAACTTACAGACAATGTTCCAAAATGCTTTTCTATCATTCCGATTGTAACGTCATATGAAGACAAACCATAGCTCTAAATGTAACGTCATGAAATGTTCCTAGGATATCTCCAAAATAACATGACATTCAGAACCTTTCATGGACTACCAAGGAACGTTTTTAATGTTCCCATGATGTCTGTATAGCGACCTGATATTTATAACCTCTATAATACTTATTAGAAATATCCGTTTTGTGCCCTGGAGTGTGTTTGACGCAGTTCTGCGTAAACCTGTATTTTGCGGATTAAAACCTGTTATTCTGTGATTTACCCTCCTGCGCCTGACTCCTTCAACACCACCTCATCACATTACCCATAACATGATGCAGCCACCACTATGCTTGAAAATATGGAGAGTGGTACTCTGTAATGTGTTTTATTGGATTTGCCCCAAACATAACATAAACAAACATATTCAGGACAAAAAGGTAATTGCTTTGCCACTTTTTTTGCAGTATTACTTTAGTGCCAGGATGCATGTTTGGAATATTTTTTATTCTGTACAGGCTTCCTTTCAATTAGGTTAATATTGTTGAGTAACTACACTATTGTTGACACATCCTCAGTTTACTATCACATCCATTAAATTCTGTAACTGTTTAAGAGTCACCATTAGCCTCATGGTGAAATACCTGAGCGGTTTCATTCCTCTCCGGCAACTGAGTTAGGAAGGATGCCTGTATCTACTGTATGTACTGACTTGGTGTATTGGTGTACACCATCCAAAGTGTAATTAATAACTTCACCATGCTCAAAGGGATATTCAATTTCTGATCTTTTTTTTTTTACCCATCTTTGCGAGGCATTGGAAAACCTCCCTGTTCTTTGTTGTTGAATCTATTTGAAAATCACTGCTCGACTGAGGGACCTTACAGATAATTGTGTGTGGGGTACAGACATGAAAAGCATGTTAAACACTGTTGATGCACACGGTCCATGCAACTTATGTGACTTGTTAAGCAAATGTTTACTCCTGAACATATTTAGGCTTGCCATATTTACTCGTAAATAACAAATGAACATAAACTCCACGCAGGGAGGACAATCCCGCTCACCAGTCGATAACACCAAACATAGAACAAACACGCACACAACACAGTGGGAGCCAGAGGGTTAAATAGGGACCAAATAATATACATAATGGGAACCAGGTGTGTACAATGAAGACAAAACAAGTAGAACACAGAAACATAGATCGGTAGCAGCTAGTACTCCGGTGACGACGAACGCCGAAGCCTGCCCGAGCAAGGAGGAGGAGCAGCCTCAGCTGAATCCGTGACAGTACCCCCCCCCCCCCCCCCCCTTGACGCGCGGCTCCAGCATTGGCCTCGGGGGCGGCCAGGAGGACGCGGCGCAGGGCGAGTCGAATGACGACGGTGGAAATCCCTCAACATGGAGGGATCGAGGATGTCCCTCCTAGGGACCCAGCACCGTTCCTCCGGACCGTACCCCTCCCACTCCACGAGACACTGCAGGCCCCCCACCCGACGCCTTGAATCCAGGATGGAACGGACCGAGTACGCCGGTGCCCCCTCGATGTCCAGTGGGGGCGGAGGAACCTCCCGTACCTCAGACCCCTGGAGTGGACCAGCTACCACCGGCCTGAGGAGAGACACATGGAACGAGGGGTTAATACGATAGTCAGGAGGAAGCTGTAACCTATAACAAACCTCGTTCAATCTCCTCAGGACTTTAAATGACCCCACAAACCGCTGACCCAGCTTCCGGCAGGGCAGGCGAAGGGGCAGGTTTCGGGTCGAGAGCCTCACTGCGGTGGCGGTTGGCACTCGCCTTTAGTCGCCTGATGGCCCGTTGCAGGCGTACATGGGCAGTGTTCCAGGTCTCCTCCGAGCGCCGAAACCATTCATCCACCGCAGGTTCCTCGATCTGGCTCTGATGCCATGACCGGCTGATAATCTAATACACATTGAAATGGAGAAAGGTTAGTGGAGGAGTGGCGGAGGGAGTTTTGGGCCATCTCTGCCCAAGGGATGAAAACCGACCACTCCCCCGGCCCGTCCTGGCAATAGGACCGCAGAAACCTACTCACATCCTGGTTTACTCTTTCCACCTGCCCATTACTCTCGGGGTCAGTCCCTTGAGGTGAACTGGGAACCCCGATCAGACACTATATCCTCAGGTACCCCGTAGTGCTGGAAGACGTGTGTACATAGGGCCTCCGCAGTCTGTAGGGCCGTAGGGAGACCGGGCAGAGGAATGAGACGGCAGGACTTAGAAAACCGATCCACAACGACCAGGATCGTGGTGTTCCCTTGTGACGGGGGAAGGTCCGTAATGAAATCCACCGATAGGTGGGACCACAGCTGTTGTGGAACGGGTAGGGGTTGTAATTTCCCTCTGGGCAGGTGTCTAGGTGCCTTACACTGGGCGCACACCGAGCAGGAGGAAACATAAACCCTCACGTCCTTAGCTAAAGTGGGCCACCAGTACTTCCCACTAAGACAGTGCACTGTCCGACCGATGCCAGGATGACCAGAGGAGTGTGAGCCCAATAGATAAATCGATCGCGGACATCTAACGGCACGTACATACGACCCTCTGGACACTGGGGGGAGTGGGCTCTGTACATAACGCCCGCTCGATGTCCGTGTCAACCTCCCACACCACCGGTGCCACCAGACACGAAGCCGGAAGTATGGGAGTGGGCTCCATGGACCTCTTCTCTGTGTCATACAGCCGGGACAGAGCGTCTGTCTTAGCGTTCTGGGAACCTGGTCTGTAGGAAAGGGTGAACACAAAACGGGTGAAAAACATGGCCCACCTTGCCTGGTGAGGGTTCAGTCTCCTCGCTACCCGGATGTACTCCAGATTGTGGTGGTCAGTCAAAATGAGGAAAGGGTGTTTAGCCCCCTCAAGCCAATGCCTCCACGCTTTCAGAGCCTTAACCACAGCTAACAGCTCCCGGTCCCCCACATCATAGTTGCGCTCCGCCGGGCTGAGCTTCTTCAAAAAGAAAGCACAGGGGCGGAGCTTTGGTGGCGTACCCGAGCGCTGAGACAGTACAGCTCCTATCCCAGCCTCGGACGCGTCCAACTCTACTGTGAATGCCAAGGAGGGATCTGGATGAGCCAGCACTGGAGCCGAGGTAAACAGGTCCTTCAGGTGACCAAAAGCCCTGTCCGCCTCAGCTGACCACTTCAGTCGCACCGGTCCCCCCTTCAGCAAGGAGGTAATGGGAGCCGCTACCTGACCAAAGCCCCGGATAAACCTCCGGTAGTAGTTGGCAAACCCTAAGAATCGCTGCACCTCCTTAACCGTGGTTGGAGTCTGCCAATTACGCACGGCCAAAATGCGGTCAATCTCCATCTCCACCCCTGACGCGGACAGCTGGTGCCCTAGGAAGGAGACAGACTTTTGAAAGAACAGACATTTCTCCGCCTTGACGTACAGGTCATGCTCCAACAGTCGACCAAGCACCTTGCGCACCAGGGACACATGCTTGGCTCGTGTAGTGGAGTATATGAGAATGTCATCTATATACACCACTACACCCTGTCCATGCCGGTCCCTGAAAATCTCATCAACAAAGGATTGGAAGGCTGATGGAGCATTCATCAACCCGTACAGCATGACGAGGTATTCATAGTGCCCAGATGTGGTACTAAATGCCGTCTTCCACTCATCCCCCTCCCGGATACGCACCAGGTTGTACGCGCTCCTGAGATCCAATTTGGTGAAGAAGCGCACCCCGTGCAATGACTCCGTCATACTAGCAATGAGAGGTAGTGGATAACTGTACTTAACAGTGAACTGATTTAGACCACGGTAGTCAATGCACGGGCGTGAAGTGGAAAGCCGAATGTATCCCTGTCCCAGAGAGTCGGAGACATATGTTTCCATAGCAGCCGTCTCTTCCTGTGACAGAGGATACACATGACTCTGGGGAAGTGCAGCGCCTACCTGGAGATTTATCGCACAATCCCCCTGTCGATGGTGTGGTATTGAGTCGCCTTCTTTTTACAGAAGGCGAGAGCCAAATCTGCATATTCGGGGGGAATGTGCATAGTGGAGACCTGGTTTGGACATTCCACCGTAGTTGCATCTATGGAAACACCTACACACCTCCCCGAGCACTGACGTGACCATCCCTTGAGAGCCCTCTGTTCCCATGAAATCGTGGGGTCATGAGAGGTTAACCAGGGAAGCACCAACACCACTGGAAACGCAGGAGAATCAATCAGAAAGAGACTAATTCTCTCCTCATCACCCTCCTGCGTTTTCATCCAGAGTGGAGCTGTGACCTCCCTAATCAGGCCTGACCCTAAAGGGTGACTATCTAAGGCATGTACAGGGAAGGGCACATCAACAGGAACAATAGGAATCCCTAATCTACGGGAAAATGTACGATCAATAAAGTTCCCAGCTGCGCCTGAATCTACCAATGCCTTATGCTGGGAATGCAGGGAAAACTCAGGAAATTCGATGTCAATATACATGTGCGCAACAGGGAGCTCTGGGTGAGTCGGGTGCCTACTCACCTGCGACGGTCCACCAGTGCTCTGCCTGCCGCCTCGACTCCCTGAGGACCGTCCCCAGCACCGTCCAGCAGTGTGTCCTCTGCGGCCACAGTTGGTGCAGGAGACGGCCCCCCTTCCGGTCTCCCTGAGAGCAGCACCTCCAAGCTCCATCGGTGTAGGGTCGGAGGATGGAATGGACGGACCCTGATCCGGACGTCCGCGGGTCGCCAACAGGTTTTCCAGCCTTATCGACATATCCACCAGCTGGTCCAGGTTAAGGGTGGTGTCCCTGCAGGCCAGCTCCCGACGAACGTCTTCCCGTAGGCTGCATCGGTAGTGGTCAATCAGGGCCCTCTCATTCCATCCCGCGCTGGCAGCCAGGGTCCTGAAGTCCAGTGCGAAGTCCTGTGCGCTCCTCTTCCCCTGTCTGAGGTGGAACAGACGCACCGACGCCGCATCTATTCCTCCCCACTCGGCGTTGGCCAACTCGAGCGCTCTCCCCGACAGACAGGAGATGAGGGCGGACACGCTCTCGTATCCCGAGGGAGCCGGGTGAATGGTAGCCAGGTCGAGCTCTACCTGGAGCAGAAAACCCTGGCACCTGGCAGCTGTACCATCATATGCCCTCGGGAGCGAGAGCCGAATCCCACTGCACCCAGGTGACCAAGGGGTGGACAGCGGTGTGGGTTGCTGTGTAGTTGGAGGAGGTGTAGGAAAACCCCCTCTCTCCCATAGCTCCATGGTGTTCAACACGCGTTCCATAGCTGTGCCGAGAGTCTGTATAATGGCCCCCTGCTGTTGGACGCGTTCCTGCACTGATCCGGAAGGAATGAATGTACCTGCTGACTCCATTTGAGGTGCGTGTTTCTGTCAGGCGTCAGTGTGTAGCGGTAGGACGGAGTCAGGCGCAGGACACAGAGCTAGTAGACAACGTACTTTACTCGTAAATAACAAATGAACATAAACGCCACGCAGGGAGGACAATCTTGCTCACCAGTCGATAACACCAAACATAGAACAAACACGCATACAACACAGTGAGAGCCAGAGGGTTAAATAGGGACCAAATCATAGACATATTGGGAACCAGGTGTGTACAATGAAGACAAAACAAGTAGAACATAGAAACATAGATCGGTAGCAGCTAGTACTCCGGTGACGACGAACGCCGAAGCCTGCCCGAGCAAGGAGGAGGAGCAGCCTCGGCTGAATCCGTGACATATATTTAGTTTTGCAGAAATAATTTGCCTTCTGTAAGTTTAAGAAATATTGCCTAGTGTCTTGTCATTCTGTTACCAAAACCCACAAATCTTTAAGAGGATAATGAAAGTTCACAGAAGTAAGAAGTAAAGGTTTACTTAACAATTAGTGTTTTTACTGATAACAATTTGGTTTATGACTTATTAAGAAATCAAATCACTTTATTCAGTTACCATTTCGGTAACAGAATGACCAAAAGAATCAGTAACAGAATGACTGCAATTGAATTGGCTACAATGGGAAATCATAGTACTCACAAACCACAGTTGGGTCACCTGCTACTGTCCTCCCTTCCACTGGCATACAGTTATGTTCAGCTAATAACTGTTATTTATTTATTTCTGTCACATGGTGGTCAAAGCAAGAGAGAGAAAACAGTCTGGAGAACCCCTCCCACTCTCTCTCCCTGTCTCTCTTCTCTCTATCTCCAGTTAGTATCACCTCTCACAGTTCTTACTGACACCTACCCATGAGACCCCTCTCTTTCCATTTATTGTAACCCTCACCCACTGAGCACCGACCGACACCGGACTTGCATGGACGTTGAACATTTGTTCAGTCCAAAATCGAACAAATCATAGACAGCACAGTACAGTAAGGATATAGGTCTGTACAATACAGTACTGCACTGTACAGTAAAGTTTAGTACAGTAGAGCACACTATAGTAGAGTGCAGTGTAATTTACTGTATTGTACTGTACTGAACTCTTTTACTCTACTGAACTGAACTATACTCAACTGTATTGTGTTGTAGTGTATTGAACTGTACTCTGTACTGTATGTGATGTCCAAACTTGTGAAACATAGACGTCTATGATTGGTACAGATTTGGTCTTGTTTGGGGGCGGAGCTCATTTGAATAATAGCCAGTGTGTAGAACAGGGGTAGGCAACCCTGTTCCTTGAGTGTCGCATGTACTGCAATATTTTGTTCCAACTAGGCACCACACCTGACCAACTGAGCTAATTGATCAGTTCAGTGATTTCCTAAATTCAACACAGTGCCTGCGGGCACTCCAGGAACAGGGTTACCTACCCCTGGCGTAGAATAATACTCAAACATGCAAAGGGGGATATTACATTTTTCTATCTTTGTGTACAAATTCAGGATACATCACCATGAGAATGACATTCATAATTATGATTTTCTGTATTGTACAGATCAGGGACCCCTGGTGTAATTCTGTTACCATCATTCTTTTACCGGGTGTTAATCCACTTCACTTACTGTAGTTCAATAACTAGAAGAGATGTTTTCAAACTATAAAAGGTGTTATATAACTGACACCCCATTCTTTCTGCAGTTATCTTTGAATCTTAATTCGGAGTAGATATTTAACAGAGCTTTGGGAAAACTTGGTCACATTCTGTTACCCAACTTTACATCTGCACTGTTCTTCGATTAAAGGTATTTTTGTAAAATGTTCAGTGGAAATTGTTAAAAGTAGTCATAGAGTTTTATGGCATGTTTAATTTTGCAATCAATTGTTTTTATTTGACATACTTTTAAAGTGAAACAATTTTTGTCTCAGCGTCATTCTGTTACCGTGGAATTGCCCTAAATCATTCAAAAAATAGAATTAAAGGGGTCCCGAGTGGCACAGCGGTCTAAGGCACTGCATCACAGTGCTGAGGCACCACTACGGGTTTGATCCCAAGCTGTGTCACAGACGGCCATGACCGGAAGCCCCATAGGGAAGCGCCAACCGGGTTATGGGAGGGGTTGGCTGTGACACCTTGGGTAGGGCCGGGCACCTGCAACCTGACTTTGGTCGTCAGTCGAGCTGTGTTTCCTCTGAGACATTGGTGCGGCTGACTTCATGGTTAAGTGAGCAGTGTCTTAAGAAGTACCGCGGCTAGGCGGGTCATGTTTCGGTCATGTCTCAACCTACCCATAGAGGAGATGTAGCAATGAGACAAGGTTGTAACTAACTATCGGGGAGAAAATGGGGTAAAAAAATCATTACAATATACAAAATATTTAAAAAAGGGAATGAATGTATTCATAGTAGGCTAACATAGGCTGTGATGGCTTTAAAAAAAGAATGGGAATGCTCTGATTAGAGGAAGCAGAGTTAATGGCGTCACTCCTACGCGACGCTCGTCCCTCAACCAACAGTGCAGGAGAAATCAATGCGCTATCTGACGTAAGACAATGAAGTCCAACAGTGATTTTGAAGTTGGAACAATTCTTCAACCAATAAGATTTTTACTAGCTTGTTAGGCTAGCTAACATGACTAATAATACAGTTAGCTAGCTTGCTTAACCTTGACAATGTGGTCTACATTATCCATATTGAAAAGGTTGTAGTTGTCAAATGGTGTTACAACATTTTCTCAGAGTTTCCCACTTATAGACCCCCCAACTTGGAGGGTCGTTCAAGTGAAATGTCCCACTTGGAACTAGGAGCTACCGACAACTCCTATACAGGAGCACTTGAACACAGCATAAGTAGGCCTAGTTGGGCTTGATAAGGTGACGCCATAATGTCAATAAAGACGCCTTACATTCAACAAATCCAATTAGCTCTTCATAAGGCCTATAATAATTATAATGTTTGATGTAGCTAATGTAATGATGATGATGATGATTATGTGCAAGCCGAAATGGGTAATCTGCGATTGCTCCATACATTTCTGGACTTTTAAATTGATGAGATACTGTATAGCCATTGATTCTAGAAGAATATAACTTATAAATGCCTCATGAGTTTAGTTCAACTGTCTAACCCCATCAGAGCCCAAAATATCAGCTTGTTTTACAATTGTTTGTCAATTGTAAACCAACATATCTACAAACATACATTTGGGGTGTGGTGAGTGTGAGGGGTTGCTGCATAACACTACTCCCATAGCTTTGGTGTCCCTCTTACAGCGAGTGTACCCATATTCAGAAAACACTCATGTTTGAACCAGCTGAACTTTGCTCTTCTGAAATCTGATATGTCTTTGATTACAGCATTTTGTGTTTGTTTTGGAGACATGATAATCATGCCCTGTTATTGTTTCCTCAGGATATTGTGCTGGTCTAGGAGTGCTTCCACCTGGACCCGTGATTGGAACATTGGGAGGAAATGTGATTTTCAAAACCACCGTCATTCCAACCACATTTGATACAATTGTCTGGACCTTTGGTGATCCCCCTGTTTTCATTGTTGACTTTCTCATCTCTAACGGTCCTGTGGCCGGACAGGAATATGTTGGTAGGATCAGTCTGGACAATAGCACTGGATCTCTGGAGCTCAGGAAACTGACCCTGAATGACAATGGAACATACAGAGTGAAACTAAGAAAGGGTAGTGTTATTGAGGAGGGATCTACGTCACTGAATGTTTATGGTGAGTTCCAAATGTTGCAGGGTAAGGTATGTACATAAAGTTACGTTCACTAACGTTACATTCACGCAGGGCAAAATTTTGAGAACAATTGTCAAACTAGTTTTCTTTGATCAATTGTCAAACTAGTTAAGACGATCTAAGCAAGGCTGGCTGAAATCCCTAAGGTTGAGATACCGTATGAAAACAACCGCTCACTCATTTAGGTCAACTACCAATTCTGGGTCAACACTTGGCGTTTTAAATGGTTTTGAGCATTATTGCAACATGGGCTGAACACAATATTCTATACTTTTACAAATTACCTTTTGAAATGGTATGTTCTCGTTTTTCCCAATTTATGAGAGGATTGTTCTTAGGTTGTACCTAGGTTATCTACTTTTGAACGTAGGCTTCTACTTTGAGAATACATTTTTATTTACTCATTCTTTTTTAAACGTCCAGGCATTTCTGGCAATGAAACATTGAATGTGACAGGCCAAAGTACCCTAAAATAATGTTGCAATTTACTATCAATTGGTAAACCTAAACTCTTTTGCAATAGGGTGGTGCAGTAAGAGGAGGTCTTTCATTAGCTGGCTTGTCATCACTGGTCAGGTGGGGCCTGTTGTGAGCAAGGTATTGTAGCGGACGAATGGACAGGGTCGTGAACCCAGGTCACTGGCAGGATAGGAAAACACCCTACACATTGTGCCAATAGGGTTTCCCCAGTGGGAAATGTAATGTGGCTTATTAGCAAAGATCACTACAGTACCTTATCTTCCAATCTGGCAGACAATGACAGACAAGAAACATCTCATTCATTATGTGTATGTTTTCTCATAATGTATGCAGTGTGCCAACAATGTGGACTCTGCTACCTCATGTGCTGTAGCGTGGAAAGAGTCAATAGAGCAAAGCGCGAGCCAGGTACCTGGTTGGGGTAAATACTAGCATGCCTAAACATGACAATGCCTTAACTTAACTTTACCCTAACCCTAACCTTAACCACTTGCTAGCATGCTTAAACTAAATATGTAAAAAAACACATTATGTGCAAATACACAGTGAGTCTGCAAGGAATCATTTAACTATGCTCGAAACAGTATTATTATGTGTCTGTGCTTTTGTAGTGAGCAACAGTGCAGTGTTTTGTAAATAAAGGCCATGGTGTTCTGAGTAATTTTATAACAGAGTGGCTGCGGATCCGAATTCTCTGGAACCATCTTCAGAAAAGCTAAAGGTCTGTGGCTCTTACGCATGTGTGTGATTCTCGACTTCATGCACAGTCTATGTTCTACTCGTTCTGTTGCCCAGAGAACAGGCTACTCGTGGCACATTTCAGTGATGAATGGAGAATGGTGCTTGTTTAATAAAGTTAGATCAAAGCTGAATCAATGTATGCAAGAACACATAATGATCTTATTCTACATATCAAAACCGAATATAAAAGCATTGTATAACTTTTTACTGTAAGACAAAAAACACCACCGCATTTCTTACAATATTTTAGGATGCAGCCAAATCTCAACAGCGTGCCCCACTAGGCAAGATATATGCTTTGAAGAATGAAGAATGGCACCGGAGGAGATGGCTTCCATTTTACGGGCTCCTAACCAATTGTGCTATTGTGTGTGTTTTTTTGCGTTATTTGTAACTAATTTTGTACATAATGTTTCTTCCACCGATTCTGCCACCGTCTCTTATGACCGAAAAGAGCTTCCGGATATCAGGACAATGATTACTCACCTCGTACTGGACAAAGATTTTTTCTTTAACGAGTCGGACACGAAGAGTTTTCTTCAGACACCAAACAAGGCCCAAATCCCAGTAATTCGCATGAGAAAGTGACAGAGATATCGGGCACGTAGGTCGGGGTGCCTTGTAAGGATCCGACGGCGAGTGGGTAATCAGCCTCTACCATCAGTAATATTAGCCAACGTACAATCATTGGATAACAGAATAGACAAACCACGATCTCGGATATCCTACCAACGGGACATTAATAACTGTAATATCTTATGTTTCACCGAGTCGTTGAACAACGACATGGATAACATACAGCTGGTGGGATATACGCTGCATAGGCAAGATAGAACAGGCTGCCTCCGGTTAAGACAAGGGTGGTCGAATAACATCGTGCGAAATAGCAAAGTCTCCATGGGGGGGTTTTAAGGGGGAGTAAATTTTTTAATTTTAAAACGGGAGTGGCTTGGCGGGTTCCCAAAAATTTTTCCCTTTCTTGAAACCCTTTTTTTCAAAAAAAAAAGGCAAAGGCCCCTTGGTGGGCTTTTTTAAAAAACCCGGGGCTTTTTTGGTTTGGGGGGGTTTTTTTTTTTTTTTTTTTTTTTTTTTTTTTTTTTTTTTTTTTTTTTTTTGGGGGGGGGGGGGGGGGGGGGGGGGGGGGGGGGGGGACCTTTCAGGGCACCGATTTTTTACCGCCGGGTTCCACAGGGGAAACCCAAGGCAAAGGGGCATTTTCCCCCGGTGAAATGGGTGGTTTTTTTAAAAAGTTGGTCAAAATTAATAATTTAAAAAAAATTAATGTTTTTCAAACCTTATAAAACCGAAAAAAAGGGACATTTTAAAATTTCCCAAAAAAAACCCCCCCAATTTTTTTACCTTTTAAACCACCAAATTCGGGCGTGCCCCATTTCAAGATTAATCGGGAAATAAAAACCCGGAAAAGGGCTTCCAAAGGGCTCCTTTCCAAGGGGGCCGGGGATTTTTTGCAGGGAACCCCTTTTAAATTTTGTTTTCCCAACCCCATTTCCACCCCCTTTAAAAAAATTGGCGGGCCCAAGGGGGAAAACCTTTAACCCCGGTTTCCCCTTTAACATTAGGACACGAAATTTTTTCCCCGGCCCCCCCTTTCGCATTCCCGAAACCCCAAATTCCCCCTGTTCCTTGTAAAAGGCAAAAATTTAAATTTAAAACCCAACTCCATACTTGGAATAAAAAATTTTTCAAACCAGATCTAACCTCCCAAGGTTTCTGTTTTTTTAGCCCCAGCTTTAAAAAACCGGAATTTTAAATACATTTGGGGGAAAATATTTCCGGCTTGCATAAAGGGAAAGTAAACACGCCCCCAAACGGGGGTGAGGGGTCTTTTAATTTTTAAACCCCCCAAACCAAAACCAATATTAAGGAAAGCCAAATGGCAAAAGGGGGTAGGGGGGTTCCACTTTGGGCCGGTGGACTTTTTACCAAGTAAAAGGTTTTTTTTTTGCTACCCCCTTCCCCCCCAAACCAAAAACCCATAAAAGGGCAAAGGGCCAAAAAAAACGGGGAAAAGTTTAAACGTTTAACCTTTTTACAAAAACAAACCCTTTTTTCCCATTTCCGCAGTTGGGGCCCAGGGGTTTAAAACCTTTCCCTCCAAGGGGAAGAAAAAGCCCCCCCCCCAATTTTGGCAAACCCTCCCAAACCCAATTTTTCCTATTCCGTTTTCGGGGCAAAAAACAAATGGAAAAGCCCATGCCGGGAAAAAAGAAGTTTTCCCGGAAAAAGTGAAAATGGGGGTTTTCCTTAGCCGATGGAAAAAGCCTTTTAAACAGGGGTCAACTTTCCAAAAGGCCCATCCAAAATTGGATTACCAGGCCCGTGTACTCCCCCCCCATTTCGCCAAACCAACTGGCAAAGGGTCTCCACTTTAAAAGGGGGCCCTCCCGGTCTTAAAAAACCGTTTCCCCCAAACCACCAAACCCGGCCCAATAAAACAAGAACCCGAAAATACCCGGGACCGAGCCCGTCAGTGTGGGGGGCCCTTTGAAACTTTCAGGCTCGGGGAAAAACACCCATTTCCCAAAGACCCACCTCCCCAAATTTTTGCTCCCGGGGCCCCAACAAAAACCACAGATGACCCTTTTTTCACCCAAACGCCCCCCAAGCCGGGGGTTAAGGGAAAACGGTCCTTAAAAGGCCCCCGTATTCCCTTTTTCCCCAAACCCTGCCCCAACCCTTTAAATTTAACCTTCCTACTGATTTTTACCCTGTTTTAAAGAAATGTTTAACAACATTTTTTTTTCTTTAAATGCCAGGGTTTTTAATCCTTGTCCGGAATCTTTAAACTGGGGTCGGCCCATACAAACCCTTTACCAGACCCATCCAAGCATACCGCCCCAATTTTTTGTGATTTTTGGCCCCACAACCCCTCAACCCGGGGGCCCCTTGGGGGGGCCCCGTGCTCCCCCCCCTGACTCACGAGGACCCATTTTGTATTGGGCACTTTTTTTACGGAAATTTAAATTTTTTTAATTTTTAAAAAATTTATTTTTCAAAACCCATTTTTTTAACGGAAACCTTTAACAAATCTCCAAAATTTATCCTTTTTAAAGGGCCTTTTTAAATTAATTGGGCCCAAAGGTTTTGGGGGGAAAAAATTGGGAATAAAAACCCAAAGGGGAAATCAAAATAAAAAGGGGTGTTCCCCCGGGTTGGGCCCCCTGTTGATTGGAATTAAGAAAATTTAATTTTTTTTTAATTGCCCAAACCTCCCCTGAACACCATCCCTTTAAGCAAGGGTTTCTTTAAAAAATTTGGGCCAATTTAAATTAAATTTTTCAAATTTTGTCAAAAAAAAAAGGATTCTTTTTTCCAAAATTTTTTAAAATTTTATAAAAGTTAAAAGAAATTCCCAAAAACCCATTAAAATTTTTCCACAATTTTGGGTTCATACGGGACCATTCAAATAAATTAAAATTTTTTTCCCCATTTCATAATTTTTAAAAACCCCCAATTTTTAAAAATTTTTAAAATATCATTTTCCTAAAGTATTCAAACCCTTTATTTTACTTTGTTAATTTCCCCTTTTAAAGGTTTTAAAAGCCCTCATCTTTTTTAAAAACCCCCCAAAAACCCTTGGCCACCGTATTAAATTTTCTCCTTTTTCCCCGGGCCGAAGTCAATCCGGGGGTTTTTGACTTTTAAACGGAGGAGGGGGAGGCCCCCTTTTCCCGAACCCCTTTAAAAAGGCTCTGTCAGGCTGGATGAGTAGCGTCGGTTCACAGCTATTTTCAGGTCTCTCCAGAGATGTGCGATCGGGTGCAAGTCCGGGCTTTGGCTGGGCCACTCAAGGACATTCAGAGACTTGTCCCAAAGCCACTCCTGCGTTGTCTTGGCTGTGTGCTTAGGGTCGTTGTCCTGTTGGAAGGTGAACCTTCGCCCCAGTATGAGGTCCTGAGCACTCTGGAGCAGGTTTTCATCAAGGATCTCTCTGTACTTTGCTCCGTTCATCTTTCCCTCGATCCTGACTACTCTCCCAGTCCCTGCCGCTGAAAAACATCCCCACAGCATGATGCTGCCACCCCCATGCTTCACCTTAGGGATGGTGCCAGGTTTCCTCCAGACGTAATGCTTGGCATTCAGGCCAAAGTGCCTTGATACAATCCTATCTCGGAGCTCTACAGACAATTCCTTCAACCTCATGGCTTGTTATTTGCTCTGACATGCACTGTCAATTGTGGGACAAGTGTGTGCCTTTCCAAATCATGTCCAATCAATTGAATTTACTACAGGTGGACTCCAATCAAGTTTTAGAAACATCTCAAGGATGATCAATGGAAACAGGATGCACCTAGCAAAGGGTCTGGTGTTTCATTTTGAATTAATTTGCAAAAATTAAAAACAAAAACTGTTGTGTGTAGATTGATGAGGAAAATGTTTCATTTAGGCTGTAACGTAACAAAATGTGAAAAAGTCAAGGGGTCTGAATACTTTCCGAATGCACTGTAATAATTGTACATGTAATAATACATAAAGTTACATACAAAAAGTGTTTAAAAAAAAGTAGGCCATTACCCACTTTAAGAATAATTACTTTTTTTTAGGCCTTGCCAATGCATTGATATTCCAATTATTATTACATTCTAAAATCTGTGAGAATAATGTGGACATTGCCTAACTAAATAGATTGGATGCATGCATGGTGATTTTCTGTAGGCTATGTGGCCGATGCAGGCACACATAATAAAGCCATGAATAGCGGTAGCATTAAGCTCACCATTTGAATCTCACCATCTCTGTTTTTATGAGAAAGTGACCGAAAACCAGGTAGATTTTTTAATGGAAGGATTTCCCGTGTAGCTCAGTTGGTAGAGCATGGCGTTTGCAAAGCCAGGGTTGTGGGTTCGATTCCCACGGGGGGTCAGTATGAAAAAAAAAAGACTAAAATGTACAAATGTAACATTAGATGTTGTTGTCCTCATAATAACCACATGTGGTTTTACTGTGCAACACCCTTCAATTGAAGCAGTGGGAAACAAATGGAAGTGGCCACATATCTTACAAAAACAGATCAAAAATGAAATCACTGATAATAATAAGGGAGCAGGAGAACTTGTAAATTGGCTACATTAATTAAAAGTAATTTTCAAGCACCAAATTGAGGAAATGTCTGATTTTCAAGGTAGACCTATTCCAGTACTTGATTTTTTTTTGCTTCAAATTCAAGATCAATTATGCTACTTCAAGCCCCATGCATTGTAAAAAATTTTTTTTTAATGTTTATTGATGCAATGATGTGTCAATATAAGTAACATAATAAAAAAATCCCTAGAGCTAGAGATATCTGTCTTTTAGCATGGGCTGCACCTCAATCCAACGTATCCGCCTATGGTGGCCTTCCGCATCTGCTATTGCAGCATCATGGCTTTAGACACCTTGGAACACCTTGCTTTAGACAAATGCATTTGTACACAAACACCTTGACAGATGTCATCTACGCTCTCACCCACAGATCCCATTTCAAACGTGACTCTGAGGGCCAACGTCATTGATCTAGTGGAACTGAATGACACTGCCATTTTCACCTGCTCTGTGTCCTCTGGCTCCTCCCCCCTTTCTTACCACTGGCTGAATGGCAGCTCTGAGGTCACAGCCAGAGATGGAATTCAGCTTGGTGATGGAGGCCGTACTCTCACCATAGCCAATGTGACCCAGTATGACCAGGGTCCATACAGGTGTATTGTGTCCAACCCCGTCAGCAGTGAACCCAGCCAGAATCTAACCCTCACCATCAGCTGTGAGTCTCTAACCTGCATATCTAACTTATCTGCATGCAGAGAAAGTCAATTTATGTAAACTTTGTTTATCTTTCACCATGTAGTTCACGTACAGTACTGTAGTCATTTCTTGATTTTGCTTGCAGCAGTACCTGTCTGCTTAACTCTAACTGCTTAAGTATAACTACGTATATTGCATATAATGTCAGATGCTTCGGTTACAACGTTATTGCCTGTTCTGTATATCACTAAGACCTGCTTAGGAAAACAGGCTTGTGGCAGGTCTTAATGTTTTTTTCTTTTCTTTTATCACTTCATCCTTTTGCCCCTAAGATGTAGCTTATATTTCTGTTGAATCCAGCCTGCCTACTGTATGTGTTGGGTGGCTGATTGCTGGTGATGGGACACTGAAGCTAGCTAGATAGATACACTAATGATAACAATAACCATCTTAAATGGGTCATTTGAAGATGGTCTAAAAAGTATCATTACATCACTGTTGGTGAACCTCCCCTCTTTAATGCTGGGGTTAAACATGGACCATTCATTACAGATGGTCCAGAAAACACAAGAATGAAGGTGACCCCTCTAGATGTACTGTATGGATCAGGGTCAAACCTCACTCTGTCCTGCTCAGCTGAGTCCAGACCTCCTGCCCAGTTTCAGTGGCTTCTGAATGGAACACTGCTGTCCAATATGGGACCAGAACTCAGGCTGGAGAACATCCATGCCAATCAGAGTGGTAGCTACAGCTGCTGGGCCCATAATACCAGAACCCTGAGGTACCAGACATCTGAGCCCTCTGACATCACTGTGCTGGGTAAGTGGCAGAGAGGAGAGGAGATGGAGACAGTCATGGGAGGAAAGAGAGAGACTGGCTCTGGGGTGTCATGGCTGAACTAACTGAAATGTTTGTAAGGTTTGTTCTCAAGACCTTTGCAAGGTCTTTGAGTACACCATCTTCCTCGATGTGCAGGGGTACGAGCCCTGGTGTACTTCATAAACCATTTCAATTTCCATATCTACTAGGAAGCTAAATGTTTGTTTCTTGGGCTTCAGGAATGTGACTGAAAAAGTGCCTCACGTCTTGAAAAATAAAAAAATTAACTGATTGAAAGTATAAGGGGCGAACAAATGCCATGGACAAGGCTACAATGGCGCCAGTGCAATGAGAGGAGCTTACTCAGGTGTTCAATAGCTCATATCAGACCAAGAGCCTAATGCTTTTTATATACTGTAGTTCACTATGAGTTTTAGTTTAGAAAACGATCTCTTGGCAGAAGCAACAGTTACAGGGATGGTAAAAACAGCTTGATTGCCGTAGCAACATCAGGGAATCTGGGCAGTAGGGAGGAGTGCTTCAAATACAGCAGTTCTGCAACATCTTTAATTGAGCCTCTCATTCTCCTTAATTGCCTGCCTCAAAACATTATGGAGAGATTGGATACTGCAAAGCCAATAAATTGGCAGATGCAAACAGATTATAATATTTAGCGGACAACAGTTCTTGAGGGCTTGAAAAAGGAAACAGTTAGCGACTGTGTTACGCCAGTGCGAGGTAATTAAGCAGATATGTACATATAACTAGGAATAAAGTGACGGATAATAAACAGTAACAGTAGCAGCAGCGTATATGATGAGTCAAAAGTTAGCGCAAGAAGGGTCAATGTAGATATTCCGGGTAGCTATTTGTTTAACTAACTACAGTGGCTTGCGAAAGTATTCACCCCCCATGGCATTTTTCCTAAAATAGATTTTTTGGGGGGTTTGTATCATTTGATTTACACAACATGCCTACCACTTTGAAGATGCAAAATATTTTTTATTGTGAAACAAACAAGAAATAAGACAAAAAAACTTAAAACTTGAGCGTGCATAACTATTCATCCCCCCATTGTCCTGCTGGAAGGTGAATCTCCGTCCCAGTCTCCAATCTCTGGAAGACTGAAACAGGTTTCCCTCAAGAATTTCCCTGTATTTAGCGCCATCCATCATTCCTTCAATTCTGACCAATTTCCCAGTCCCTGCCGATGAACAATATCCCCACAGCATGATGCTGCCACCACCATGCTTCACTGTGGGGATGGTGTTCTCAGGGTGATGAGAGGTGTTGATTTCTGAGCCAGACATAGCGTTTTCTTGATGGCCAAAAAGCTCAATTCTAGTCTCATCTGACCAGAGTAACTCTTCCATATGTTTGGGGAGTCTCCCACATGCCTTTTAGCGAACACCAAACGTGTTTGCTTATTTTTTTCTTTAAGCAATGGCTTTTTTCTTGCCCCTCTTCCGTAAAGTCCAGCTCTGTGGAGTGTATGGCTTAAAGTGGTCCTATGGACAGATACTCCAATCTCCGCTGTGGAGATTTGCAGCTCCTTCAGGGTTATCTTTGGTCTCTTTGTTGCCTCTCTGATTAATGCCCTCCTTGCCTGGTCTGTGAGTTTTGGTGGGCGGCCCTTTCTTGGCAGGTTTGTTGTGGTGCCATATTATTAAACAATTTTAATAATGGATTTAATGGTGCTCCGTGGGATGTTCAAAGTTTCTGATATTTTTTTATAACCCAACCCTGATCTGTACTTCTCCACAACTTGGTCCCTGACCTGTTTGGAGAGCTCCTTGGTCTTCATGGTGCCGCTTGCTTGGTGGTGCCCCTTGCTTAGAGGTGTTGCAGACTCTGGGGCCTTTCAGAACAGGTGTATATACAGTGGGGGAAAAAGTATTTAGTCAGCCACCAATTGTGCAAGTTCTCCCACTTAAAAAGATAAGAGAGGCCTGTAATTTTCATCATAGGTACACGTCAACTATGACAGACAAATTGAGAAAAAACAATCCAGAAAATCACATTGTAGGATTTTTAATGATTTTTTTTGCAAATTATTATCACCTACAAACAAGCAAGATTTCTGGCTCTCACAGACCTGTAACTTCTTCTTTAAGAGGCTCCACTGTCCTCCACCCGTTACCTGTATTAATGGCACCTGTTTGAACTTGTTATTAGTATAAAAGACACCTGTCCACAACCTCAAACAGTCACACTCCAAACTCCACTATGGCCAAGACCAAAGAGCTGTCAAAGGACACCAGAAACACAATTGTAGACCTGCACCAGGCTGGGAAGACTGAATCTGCAATATGTAAGCAGCTTGGTTTGAAGAAATCAACAGTGGGAGCAATTATTAGGAAATGGAAGACATACAAGACCACTGATAATCTCCCTCGATCTGGGGCTCCACGCAAGATCTCACCCCTTGGGGTCAAAATGATCACAAGAACGGTGAGCAAAAATCCCAGAACCACACGGGGGGACCTAGTGAATGACCTGCAGAGAGCTGGGACCAAAGTAACAAAGCCTACCATCAGTAACACACTACGCCGCCAGGGACTCAATTCCTGCAGTGCCAAACGTGTCCCCCTGCTTAAGCCAGTACATGTCCAGGCCCGTCTGAAGTTTGCTAGAGTGCATTTGGATGATCCAGAAGAGGATTGGGAGAATGTCATATGGTCAGAATGAAACCAAAGTATAACTTTTTGGTAAAAACTCAACTCGTCGTGTTTGTAGGACAAAGAATGCTGAGTTGCATCCAAAGAACACCATACCTACTGTGAAGCATGGGGGTGGAAACATCATGCTTTGGGGCTGTTTTTCTGCAAAGGGACCAGGACGACTGATCCGTGTAAAGGAAAGAATGAATGGGGCCATATATCGTGAGATTTTGAGTGAAAACCTCCTTCCATCAGCAAGGGCATTGAAGATGAAACGTGGCTGGGTCTTTCAGCATGACAATGATCCCAAACACACCTCCCGGGCAACGAAGGAGTGGCTTCGTAAGAAGCATTTCAAGGTCCTGGAGTGGACTAGCCAGTCTCCAGATCTCAACCCTATAGAAAATCTTTGGAGGGAGTTGAAAGTCCGTGTTGCCCAGCGACAGCCCCAAAACATCACTGCTCTAGAGGAGATCTGCATGGAGGAATGGGCCAAAATACCAGCAACAGTTTGTGAAAACCTTGTGAAGACTTACAGAAAACGTTTGACCTGTGTCATTGCCAACAAAGGGTATATATCAAAGTATTGAGAAACTTTTGTTATTGACCAAATACTTATTTTCCACCATCATTTGCAAATAAATTCATTAAAAATCCTACAATGTGATTTTCTGGATTTTTTTTTCTCATTTTGTCTGTCATAGTGGACGTGTACCTATGATGAAAATTACAGGCCTCTCTCATCTTTTTAAGTGGGAGAACTTGCACAATTGGTGGCTGACTAAATACTTTTTTCCCCCACTGTATACTGAGATCATGTGATAGATCATGTATCAATTAGATTGCACACAGGTGGACTTTATTTAACTAATTATGTGACTTCTGAAGGTAGTTGGTTGCACCAGATATTATTTAGGGGCTTCGTATCAAAGGGGGTGAATACAAATACACGCACCACATTTCAGTTATTTATTTTTTTGAATGTTTTGAAAAAAGTTTTTTTTTTTATTTCACTTCACCAATTTTGACTATTTTGTGTATGTCCATTACATGAAATCCAAATAAAAATCCATTTAAATTACAGGTTGTAATGCAACAAAATAGGGAAAACGCCAAGGGGGATGAATACTTTTGCAAGGCACTGTATTTAGCAGTCTTATGGCTTGGGGGTGGAAGCTGTTCAGGGTCCTATTGTTTCCTGTTGGGTCCAGACTTGGTACATCGGTACTGCCTACCATGCGGTAGCAGAGAGAACAGTCTATTACTTGGGTGGCTGGAGTCTTTGACCATTTTTAGGGCCTTCCTCTTACACCTCCTGGTATAGAGGTCCCAGAGGGCAGGGAGCTTTGCCCCAGTAATGTACTGGGCCGTACGCTCTACAATCTGTGTTGCCATGCGGTCCAATGCCAAGCAGTTGCCATACCAAGCTGTGATGCAGCCAGTCATGATGCTCTCAATTGTGCAGCTGTAGACGACGTCGTCCCCACATTGACCGTACGTACATACAGTGCTATGGAAAAGTATTTGCCCCCTTTCTAATTTTCTCTACTTTTGCATATTTGTGATACTGAATGTTATCAGATCTTCAACCAAAACCTAATATTAGATAAAGGGAACATAAGTGAACAAATAACACAACAATTACATATTTATTTCATTTACAAAGTTATGCAACACCCAATTCCCCTGTGTGAAAAAGTAATTACCCCCTTACACTCAATAACTGGTTGTGCCACCTTTAGCTGCAATGATTCCAACCAAATGCTTCCTGTAGTTGTTGATCAGTCTCTCACATCGCTGTGGAGGAATTTTGGCCCACTCTTCCATGCAGAACTGCTTTTATTTTATTTTATTTAACTAGGCAAGTCAGTTAAGAACAAATTCTTATTTACAATGACGGCCTACACCGGCCAAACCTAGACGACGCTGGGCCAATTGTGCGCCGCCCTATGGGACTCCCAATCACGGCCGGTTGTGATACACCCTGGAATCGAACCAGGGGGTCTGTAGTGACGCCTCAAGCACTGAGATGCAGTGCCTTAGACCACTGCGCCACTCGGCATTACTGGAAACATGTCGTCCAAAAAGTTATACTTTTGAATCATCTGTCCATAGAACGTTCTTCCAAGAGTCTTGATGATCATCCAGGTGCTTTTTGGCAAACTCGAGTCAACTTTTTGGATGATATGGGTCCCATTTTGCCTGGCGAAAACCAAACACTGCATTCCACAGTAAGAACATCATACCAAAGGTCAAGCATGGTGGTGGTGGTGTGATGGTTTGTGGATGCTTTGCTGCCTCAGGACCTGGATGACTTGCCTTAATAGAAGGAACCATGAATTCTGCTCTGTATCAGAGAATTCTACAGGAGAATGTCAGATCATCCGTCTGTGAGCTGAAGCTGAAGCGCAGCTGGGTCATGCAGCAAGACAATGATCCAAAACACACAATCAAATCTACATGAAAATTGCTAAAAAGCAACAAATTGGAAGTTTTGGAATGGCCTAGTCAAAGTCCAGACCTAATCCCAATTGAGATGTTGTGGCAGGACTTGAAACGAGCAGTTCATGCTTGAGAACCCACACGTCACTGAGTTAAAGCAGTTCTGCATGGAAGAGTGGGCCAAAATTCCTCCACAGCGACGTGAGAGACTGATCAACAACTACAGGAAGCATTTGGTTGGAGTCATTGCAGCTAAAGGTGGCACAACCAGTTATTGAGTGTAAGGGGGTAATTACTTTTTCACACAGGGGAATTGGGTGTTGCATAACTTTGTAAATGAAATAAATATGTAATTGTTGTGTTATTTGTTCACTTATGTTCCCTTTATCTAATATTAGGTTTTGGTTGAAGATCTGATAACATTCAGTATCACAAACATGCAAAAGTAGAGAAAATTAGAAAGGTGGCAAATACTTTTTCATAGCACTGTATCCTAACCAGCTGCCACTTTGAAGGAGTGGGACAATAATCCCGGTGCTTATAAGAAAACCCGCTACGTCCTCCGACAAACCATCAAACAGGCAAAGCGTCAATACAGGACTAATATCGAATCCTACTACACTGGCTCTGACGCTCGTTGGATGTGGCAGGGCTTGCAAACTATCAAGCGTTACAAAGGGAAACCCAGCGCGAGCTGCCCAGTGACACGAGCCAACCAGAATTAAGATGTTGTCATAGATTTGAGAGCTCTTCTGCACCTATTACACTACTAAACTTAATAATTTATTTTATTTATGTTTTACATACCATGTGTGGGCCTTTACTTTCTTTATCATACACAAAGTTTACCATGTTGCATTTTCATTTCACTTGTGCTTTGTGTTTTCAGGCAACTGTTACTGTTTGACAAAATAATATATAATCTACATTATAAACTCGGTGGTTTGAGCCCTGAATGCTGATTGGCTGACAGCCGTGGTATATCAGATCATATACCACGTGTATGACAAAACATTTATTTTTACTGCTCTAATTACGTTGGTAACCCGTTTATCATAGCAATAGGGCACCTCTGGGGTTTGTGGTATATGGCCTAAGAATTTAACCGTGGTATATTGGCCATATACCACACCCCTTCGTGCCTTATTGCTTAATTATAATCTAGGCTACAATCTGTATTATCAATTCAATTCTGATTTATATACCATTGTCCTTCACAGAACCAATATCTGGTGCTATCATCACTACTACCCCAAATCCTCCAATCATCGAGGGGAATTCTGTCAACTTAACATGTGATGCTTCTGGCTCCATCATCACCAGAGAGTGGATGAAGGATGGTCAGCTTCTGTCTGCTGGTGGCAACATGATCATCTCTGAGGATAAGAGAGTGCTGTCCATAAACCCTGTGAAGAGAACAGACAGTGGAGAATACCTGTGTAGAGTTAGCAACCCCATCAGCACCGCTGATGCTACACACGATCTCATTGTAAACTGTAAGTAGGCCTACTCTGCTATAAACCTGGGGTTACAATTACTGTGTTTTAACTGCTGTTGTTTCTTGCATTAAAATCTGACAGTCACAGTGTAAATGCTGGATATGCAAGATATTACAGAGTAAATCTATGGATATATACAGGGGCGCAACATTCACTAAGGACGGGGGGGAGATGTCCTCCCCATTTTTGTCCCCCAAAGATTTATTATTGGAATGTGATACAAAACCCGGCTGGGTGTGCTTTAGGACCATGCGGAAGCCTCTGAGCGGTTAGGTAGACTCTTTGGAGTGTTTATCCCCACTTCTAAAACCAAAGTTGCGCCCCTAAATATAAATAACAGTTTGAGTGTGTAACATCACATTGATTACCAACTAACAAACACATGGCTACCTCTAATTGGAACTGGTGATCTCTGTGTTACAGATGGACCTGATGGTATGGAAATCAAGGGTCCAACTGAAATAGAAGTAGGACAGAAGTTAACATTGACCTGCTCTGCTGACTCCAACCCCCCTGCTAGTTACACCTGGATGCTCAATGGAACAGAGATACCTGGACATTCACCTGAGTTCACTAAAGAAAATAGTGAATACTTTGACAGTGGGGATTACACATGTACAGCAACAAATGATGTCACTAGAAACAAAACATATGTGGTCCATAAACTGTCAGTAAAAGGTAAAGTTAGCTGAAGCTTTAAAGACAATATGAGCATAGTAAATCGATAGTAATTACATTTTTAAGAATCTCCAGCTTGCATAGCATACAGTAGGCTATTTCACTTTGTACATATGTAAACTACAGTAGTTTTTACGCCATAGTGATATCTATTTTAAAACCTGCTGCTGATATGCTATGTAAGAATGTTCCATTTAGAAAACTTGCTGCAAGATGATTCATTTGTATTAGTTTTGCATTTCAAACTTGTTTTGAAATAATGCCATTAGGTGTATTTGTTGTATTGTAATTGTCACCCAGATGCACTGTAATGTGCAGTACTGATTGTTCATTGTGTGTAGCCTTTCTCTCATCTCTGTATGGTTCTATCCCTGGACTCTGCAGCGGTGGGCTCTCTATCTCAGGGTCTGTCTGCTGGTGCCATCGCTGGGATTGTGATTGTAGTATTGATGGTTGTGGGAGTGGCGGTTGGTGTTGCAGTCTACTTCACGAAGAAAAAGGGGTGAGAAAAAAAAAATACAGTTTGAAATCAGATTTGTTTTATTTAGTGATAAATAAAGAATATTATATCAAATATTATTTATCAACTTTTTGTATGAAGAAGTTTAACAATGGAATCCATTTCACTTAAGTATATCACTTACTGTATTCTTTGTTTTTGTCTTGGGGCTTTAGCTTGTCTCCCATGCCAACAGCCTGAATTGTGGGTCTGTGCATACTTACTTACTATCTGTCCCACGTATCCTTGCTCTATATGGTGTCTTTGGGTTAAATTGATTGGGTTAGCTTTGAAATAGTTTTTATAGCTCAATGCGGTTTTGAGAGACAACCAAATACTTAGAAGTATTTTAAGATACCAATGAAGCCCCATTTTGTTGTAGTATCACCCACCTGTAAATCAGTCTACCTGCCAAATAAAATAAAATACAATTTTATTTCTCACATGTGCCGAATGCAACATGTGTAGTAGACCTTACTGTGAAATGCTTACTTACAGGCCCTTAACCAACAACACAGTTAAAAAAATAGAGTTAAGAAAATATTTACTAAATAAACTAAAGTAAAAAATTAAAAGTAACACAATAAAATTACATAACAATTGTCACGCTCGTTTATAGACGGGACGGACCAAGGCGCAGCGTGATATGCCAACATGTTTATTTAACGAATAAACACACAACAAAACAACAAACGAAACGTGAAGTCCAAGGTAGCACACAAACAACATACCTTACATGGAACAAGAACCCACTAGTGCCAATAGGCTACCTAAGTATGGTCCCCAATCAGAGACAACGAGCTACAGCTGCCTCTGATTGGGAACCACACCGGCCAACATAGATCTACACGATCTAGATCTAAACATAGAAAATGCAACATAGAACATACCACACAGAAAATACACACCCTGACTCAACAAATACGAGTCCCCAGAGTCAGGGCGTGACAACAATAAAGAGGCTATATACAGGGGGTACCGGTACCGAGTCAATGTGTGGGGGTACAGGTTAGTCGAGGTAGTTTGAACATGTAGGTTGGGGTAATCTGCAAAGGAGCTTTTTGGACCTAGACTTGGCGCTCCGTTACCGCTTGCTGTGCGGTAGCAGACAGAACAGTCTATGACTTGGGTGACTGGAGTCTTTGACAATTTTTTGGGCCTTCCTCTGACACCTTCTAGTATATAGGTCCTGGATGGCAGGAAGCTTGGTCATGTACTGGGCTGTACGCACTACCCTCTGTAGCGCCTTATGGTCGGATGCCGAGCAGTTGCCATACCAGGCGGTGATGCAACTGGTCAGGATGCTCTCGATGGTACAGCTGTATAACTTTTTGAGGATCTGGGGACCCATGCCAAATCTATTCAGTCTCCTGAGGGGGAAAAGGTGTTGTCCTGCCCTCTTCCCGACTGTCTTGGTGTGTTTGGACAATGATAGTTTGTTGGTGATGTGGACACTAATGAACTTAACTCTCGACACGCTCCACTACAGTCCTGTCGATGTTAATGGGGGCCTGTTGGGCCCTCCTTTTCCTGTAGTCCATGATCATCTCCTTTGTCTTGCTCACATTGAGGGAGAGGTTGTTGTCCTGGCACAACACCTCATCCCTATAGGCTGTCTCAACGTTGTCGGTGATCAGGCCTACCACTGTTGTGTCGTCAGCAAACTTAATGATGGAGTTGGAGTCGTGCTTGGCCACGCAGTCGTGGGTGAACAGGGAATACAGGAGGGGACTAAGCACGCACCCCTGAGGGGCCCCGGTGTTGAGGATCAGAGTGGCAGATGTGTTGTTGCCTTCCCTTACCACCTGGGGGTGGCCCGTCAGGAAGTCCAGGATCCAGTTGCAGAGGGAGGTGTTTAGTCCCAGGGTCCTTAGCTTAGTGATGAGCTTTGTGGGTGTTGAACGCTGAGCTGTAGTCAATGAACAGCATTCTCACATAGGTGTTCCTTTTGTCCAGGTGGGAAAGGGCAGTGTGGAGTGCGATTGAGATTGCGTCATCTGTGGATCTGTTGGGGCGGTATGCGAATTGGAGTGGGTCTAGGGTGTCCGGGATGATGGTGTTGATGTGAGCAATGACCAGCCATTCAAAGCACTTCATGGCTACCGACGTGAGTGCTACGGGGCGGTTGTCATTTAGGCAGGTTACCTTGGGCACAGGGACTATGGTGGTCTGCTTGAAACATGTGGGTGTTACACTCGGTCAAGGAGAGGTTGAAAATGTCAGTGAAGACACTTGCCAGTTGGTCAGCGCATGCTCTGAGTACACGCCCTGGTAATTCATCTGGCCCCGCGTCCTTGTGAATGTATTTTTTTAAAAGTGTTAAGTAAAAAAAATAAAAGCAAATAACTAAAGAGCAGCAGTAAAATAAAATAACATTAGGGAGGCTATATACAGGGGGGTACCGGTGCAGAGTCAATGTGCGGGGGCACCGGCTAGTCGAGGTAATATGTACATGTGGGTAGAGTTAAAGTGACTATGCATAAATAATAAACAGAGTAGCAGCAGCGTAAAAGAGGGGGGTTGGGGTGAGGGGGCAGTGCAAATAGTCCGGGTAGCAATGATTAGCTGTTCAGGAGTCTCATGGCTTGGGGGTAGAAGCTGTTGAGAAGCCTTTTGGACCTAGACTTGGCGCTCCGGTACCGCTTGCCGTGCGGTAGCAGAGAGAACAGTCTATGACTAGGGTGGCTGGAGTCTTTGACAATTTTGAGGGCCTTCCTCTGACACCACCTGGTATTGAGGTCCTGGATGGCAGGAAGCTTGGCCCCAATGATGTACTGGGCCGTACGCACTACCCTCTGTAGTGCCTTGCGGTCGGAGGCCGAGCAGTTGCCATACCAGGCGGTCACAACCCACAGAGGGAAACCACAACTGTATGCAGTATAAACAGGAAGAAAGGGGGAAAGTATTAGCTTTGTGGCATTTCTCCCTGACCTCTGACCCTCAGGTTTATGTGTCTCTCTGACCAATAGCTGAAACTAAAACAGATGTTTGTCAATGATGTGGTTGCCTGATTCCTAACAGACTTTAACTCATGTAACTTATAAGGTTAGAGGCCATGGAGAGATATTTCTAATGTTCGGTAGTCAATTATGAATTCCTATGTTGTCACCATTTGTTTAGAGACCATTTACTGTGATAGAGCCCTATCATAAGTTGTCTCTGTGTTTTAAGGTATGGCTTTTCAAGTAACCAAACACACATTTCTGGAATCAGATACGCAATCATCAGTTATAATAAGAGAGGGTTTCAAAATAAAAAGTAATAAACAATGTGTGAAGGCTGTGGAAAGGTCAGTTGAAGGGCAGTTGACCATTACCTATAGGTCATTATAGACGGATAACAACCAAAGTATTGCGCCGCCGCGTGAAGAGGAGATACATTGAGTATACTGTAGTTTACAGTAAAATGAGTTTATAATCTGATAACAGGTTAACCCTCTCTGTATTTGGCTGGCAGGGCTGATTGTCAATGGTTGTTATGAAGAAATATAATTGTACAGAATTTGTTGGTGGTTCACAATGCATTTGCCTCATCTAAATTAAGCCTACATGTGTCTCTGCAAATAACAATACAAATTTCCCAAAGATACTGACTGCTCCCTAATTTACATTAGTTTATTCAAGAAGGAATCCTCCAGTGGAAATGGTGTTGGCAACAGTAAGTATGAGTTATGTGTCTCACATGCATCCATTAATTTAGTAAATAATGTATATGACCAATTAATGACCTTATGGTCTACATCTACTTCTGCTCTGTCTACTACCACTCTAGTAGTAAATGGATCTCCATATCTCTATCCACTGGCACATACTGGTTGAATCAACGTTGTTTCCACGTCATTTCAATGAAATTACATTGAACCAACGTGGAATAGATGTTGAATTGACGTCTGTGTCCAGTGGGTCTGTTCCCAGCTCTCTGAATACCTAAATTCCTCTGTCTACGTGGGCAAACAATCTCTGCTCCGGCTTACCATAATCTTCTGCACAGACGCACAAAATATGAACTAATGATACAGTGGGGATAAAAAGTATTTAGTCAGCCACCAATTGTGCAAGTTCTCCCACTTAAAAAGATGAGAGAGGCCTGTAATTTTCATCATAGGTACACGTCAACTATGACAGACAAAATGAGAAAGAATATTCCAGAAAATCACATTGTAGGATTTTTTATGAATTTATTTGCAAATTATGGTGGAAAATAAGTATTTGGTCAATAACAAAAGTTTCTCAATACTTTGTTATATACACTTTTTTTTGGCAATGACACAGGTCAAACGTTTTCTGTAAGTCTTCACAAGGTTTTCACACACTGTTGCTGGTATTTTGGCCCATTCCTTCATGCAGATCTCCTCTAGAGCAGTGATGTTTTGGGGCTGTCGCTGGGCAACACAGACTTTCAACTCCCTCCAAAGATTTTCTATGGGGTTGAGATCTGGGGACTGGCTAGGCCACTCCAGGACCGTGAAATGCTTCTTACGAAGCCACTCCTTCGTTTCCCGGGCGGTGCGTTTGGGATCATTGTCATGCTGAAAGACCCAGCCACGTTTCATCTTCAATGCCCTTGCTGATGGAAGGAGGTTTTCACTCAAAATCTCACGATACATGGCCCCATTCATTCTTTCCTTTACACGGATCAGTCGTCCTGGTCCCTTTGCAGAAAAACAGCCCCAAAGCATGATGTTTCCACCCCCATGCTTCACAGTAGGTATGGTGTTCTTTGGATGCAACTCAGCATTCTTTGTCCTCCAAACACGACGAGTTGAGTATTTACCAAAAAATTATATTTTGGTTTCATCTGACCATATGACATTCTCCCAATACTCTTCTGGATCATCCAAATGCACTCTCAGATGGGCATGGACATGTACTGGCTTAAGCAGGGGGACACGTCTGGCACTGCAGGATTTGAGTCTCTGGCGGCGTAGTGTGTTACTGATGGTAGGCTTTGTTACTTTGGTCCCAGCTCTCTGCAGGTCATTCACTAGGTCTGGGATTTTTGTCACCATTCTTGTGATCATTTTGACCCCACGGGTGAGATCTTGCGTGGAGCCCCAGATCGAGGGAGATTATCAGTGGTCTTGTATGTCTTCCATTTCCTAATAATTGCTCCCACAGTTGATTTCTTCAAACCAAGATGCTTACCTATTGCAGATTCAGTCTTCCCAGCCTGGTGCAGGTCTACAATTTTGTTTCTGGTGTCCTTTGACAGCTCTTTGGTCTTGGCCATAGTGGAGTTTGGAGTGTGACTGTTTGAGGTTGTGGACAGGTGTCTTTTATACTGATAACAAGTTCAAACAGGTGCCATTAATACAGGTAACGAGTGGAGGACAGAGGAGCCTCTTAAAGAAGAAGTTACAGGTCTGTGAGAGCCAGAAATCTTGCTTGTTTGTAGGTGACCAAATACTTATTTTCCAACATAATTTGCCAAAAAATTCCTAAAAAATCCTACAATGTGATTTTCAGGAAAAAAAAATCTCAATTTGTTTGTCATAGTTGATGTGTACCCATGATGAAAATTACAGGCCTCTCTCATCTTTTTAAGTGGGAGAACTTGCACAATTGGTGGCTGACTAAATACTTTTTCCCCCCACTGTAACCTACTAATGTTAAGCATCATGCCTGTAATCTAAGGCAATGCTTTCAATTAAGGTGTGAATATAGACACTCAAATAATTGGGAAGCCTATATACTGTAAACTACAGCTCCATCTCGAACTGCAGTTTGTGTGTCATCTCAATAGGTACAAGCTCTGCTAACGGTGGGGGACCAGGAGGAAACCAGGTACTTTGCACTGTCATGTCATGCATTTAACTGTCATGTATTCTGTTTTCATAGCTTCCATAGTACATTGGTTTATCTGATATGCTTTTATTCCTTTGATTCTGCCATTTTGAGTAAAAAGAGCTGCACACTGGGCTTCATGTACAGTATCATATCTTGTCTGGCTATCAGAGATCCTGATCAGCATAGTAAATATCAGTGTTGTGTAAGACCGAAGAGAATAATGTAATGATAATAATCACAGATAGCCTCGTCACAGTGTAGAGAAAGATGGGTCAATATAATAGTTATAATCATTATATAACTATATGACTATAATAGTTAACATAGCCTACCTAGAGCTTGGCTCTGGTGCTATATCTCCTGGCGTCTCTGCTAAGCAGCAGTCTGGCCTTTGACCAGGTTTATAACCTCACATCATTATAGTGATGAGCACAATTCCAGGCAGGGGCAGTATGCATGGCCTGTTTACTGTAAGGCTGAGGGACTTTGCTCCAGGAAGATACAATTATATTGAGCTTACACAACTTTTATTGTGAAGTATTTCAAATAGATGAAACTGTTTCCTCAGTTCAGACAAATGTATTTCTGTCAAGTGCCACGAGCCTTAATGTATCCAATTTGGCAGCAATTTAATCTTTCCTGAAACTTAACCGAAATAAATATGAAAGCTATGAGGAACTACCTTTGTAATCAACACCACTGACCTCTTTCAAGATGACAATAGAAACATGCCAACCTGCTCATAATGAGCTAGTCTGGTAACTGGTTCACTAGCCGTGTGACACACCTTATCTCCTGGCATGCAAGGCTAGTAATGACCACACAGTTTGAGGGGATGTAACAAGCTCCCTGCCCTCAAGAAGTTGTATGAGAAATAACCAAAAGCATGTTGACTGAACTAACTCTGTGTTTGCAATTATCCACTGCTCTGGTGCTTATAGCTCTAGAAGTCAGGCAGTATAAGTGGGGAACTGAGTTTTTCCATTTCAGGTCATGGTCAGGACTTAACTAGGACATGTCTCTACTCTGTCCTCCTAGGACCTGAACTATGCAGACATCACGCAATTCCAGAAGAGGGACGGTGGGTCAGTTCAGCTGGGGAACCTGGGTACTTCCTCCACAGAGTACGCTCAGGTCCGAGTCAACAACCGGCCTGGTCAGCCTGCCAAACCGCCCACCTACCAAGCCCACCAATCCCAGTATTCCCAGGTGAAAAAGCTTGCCCTTAAGACTGCCCCCGATGCTGCATCCACCATCTACTCAGATGTCCGAAGGAACTGACCACGCCTCCCTGTCAATCATCTGGACCAGTTGGGGTCAGTCAGGGCGACCAGGCCTGTTCAGACATGGTCAGTGAAGCCCCACAACCTTCTGTGTCTACAGTATGTGCCAACCAAACCTTTTCTAATACCTTATTAGGCCTTACAGATCCCTGGACAAACAAAAATGTCAGTTGACCCCTTAGCTATTATCAATACATTGGGTGCTCATTTGTTTTATCATTTATACTCATCTAATAGTAAAGAAATTATATTTCATTGACAATGTCGTAATAGATCTTAATTGTCGTGAGTATTTTGATATACACAAAAAATACAGCTACATACACAATTAAAGAAAGTCTCCCTTACTGCTCTATTCAGTTCTCATACATACTGTGGAGGTAACTGTACTGTACCACATATTGGGAAAAGCATTCGCATGCGTCCCATGTTTTAGCATAATAGCAACATAGAGGAACACCATCTCTCAGGGTGACGTGGGTACCATTACATTTACGTCATTTAGCAGACGCTCTCATCCAGAGCGACTTACAGGAGCAATTAGGGTTAAGTGCCTTTCTCAAGGGCACATCGACAGATTTTTCCCCTAGTCGGCTCGGGGATTAGAACCAGCGACCTTTCGGTTACTGGCACAACGCTCTTAACCACTAAGCTACCTGCCGCCCCCATGACCATTGCCCTGGTCATTTGCATGTACGGTGTACATGATACCTTATGTACTGTTAGATACAGTATCATAAAAGGGAAATGAAATAGCCCTGTGCGCAGTATGTGTAAATGATCAATACTTTGTTTGTTTTGTTTATTAGCAATAGATGGCTCTCACTGTTGCTTTGTTTCTCTTGTAAAAGAAAATATTGCGTGTACAGGATGTGCATTCAGGAATTATTTTTATCAATAATTTCCCTATTGCTATTTGATTATTAAAACACCAATAACAAGATAGAATATTTTGCTTATTATTTCTAAGAATATCTTTGTAAGTTGAAATGAACGAAACCAACAATGGTTATGTCGGTGACAAGGTTCAGTACCACACACATCTAGCATAAAACTTTAGCATAGAACTTCCTGCATTGTTGCTTGTGGACAACAAAGTCCAAACCATGCAATGGGAAGTTGTTAAACATTGCACTACCCCTTTAGCTTTAATAACAAAGCTGTATTTATTATTTGGGACATTTTCGACAATGATGCTTGTACCGCAAACTTATATTAGTATATTTTAAATGATTCAATGAATTGACAATGTGAGAAAGTAGGCTTGACTTACAGTGAGATACATTTGATCATTGTTTTGATTGCCAGCTTTATTCTGGTTTATTGTGGTTCCAAGCATTTTTGTTATTTGTGAATCAACCTATGTTTGAGTTATGATGTATTTTGCAGCAAAAATAGAAGTGCCTGTATGCTTAAGAATTGTTTATTTAATGTCAAATGTGCTGTACATGATTTAGTGCCACATCTACTCCCAAACCAAACCAAACATTCCAGTCTATCTACTCCCAAACCAAACCAAACATTCCAGTCTATCTACTCCCAAACCAATCATAGAGTTGTTATGTACAAACACAGGGGAAGGAACAGCACGTGTAATGCTATACTCCAATTTCAAAGGCCCTCTTGTTCAACCCTCTCAATACACTTAGTATTTCCTTTATACTCATATGAATCCATTGGTTCCTATGATGTGAATGTGGGCCTGTCATTAAAGTTTAACTTTCTAACCTGTATACTGCTACTGTACACTGCACATGATCATAATGCATAATGAATCTTAGACTTGTCTGCATAAAAAAAAAGAGGAATACAACTATTTGTTTTGAAATAATTGCACTTTTATGGAAGAATTAGAATTTTAATGCCAATAAATTGTATTTGCTCTAACATGGCCAAAGTTTCTGTCTTGGAGTGGCAGGGAATAAGCATACAGGGTTCTGTTTTCAAATTGCTGTGTAGTACAGAAAAAGTACATCTGAGACAAACTATTTGGGGGTTTGAATGGTTTAAACTAAAGAATCTGGCAGTAACATATTCTTAATTTTAATAATGAACTGTAATGAGTGAAGTCCACGTATAATATTAAAGCACTTCTCTCTTTTAACAGTGTAATATTTCTGGAACTTCCTTGTTGAATATTTTGAAGCGCTTCCCTCTTTTAAAGGGCAGTTACGCCACTTTTCAATCTCATATTCATTATCTCCAGTACCAAACCAGTGTCGACATATGTGAAAACAGCGTGTTTCTATGAAAGGTCCTAAAAAATGCTTCTTTGTGACACCACTGGGTAGGATAATTTTTTAAACAAAAACAGTTATCTTTCAAACCCTGCAACCCGTTTCTAGCCAGAGGGAGGGTATTTTCTTGCTCCCCACATCACCGCGAATTTCAGTGTTTGAAAATCACTCTTTGAGGATGTAATCGGGTAGAACTTTTTTACTTTACATATTTTTCTACAAAATGTAGAAATGTGCCATTTTCACATATGTAGAAACTGGTATTGTGCTGGAGATAATGAAAATGAGGTTGAAAAGTGGTGGAGTTGCCCTTTAACAGTATGATGCTTCTGGAATTTCCTCGTTGAAAATACACAGGCACACACGCTCTCTTTCTCTTATTTTTCTTTCCCTCTCGCATGAGTTTGGATATGTTTTACATTCATTAGTAAAGTGAATAAACATCTGTCTCTGAAGCACAAAGATGCAGTTATACGGTACATCACATTTGACATTGGGTTTCACAGAGTGCAAATAAGAGGACGGACCTGTGACAGTCAGGGGAAACAGCTCATTAACTATTTTGAAAGGGAGACAAAATGCTAATGTTTTAGTGTTTGTTTTTTACCATATATATGTTGACTCATACAGGTTGTCACCTTAGCAGAGTGTTTGTTTATTTTTTATTGCACTATCAGAGCCGAATAAATCCATTGGAAAAATTGAATTATGCAAATAGATTTAATTCATTCAGGGCCTGCAAAACACACCAGCCACCCATGGACTGATATAACACTGAACTGTCGAATCAACCTCATCTAACTCTTCATTTAACAGAATCTCACAGCAATATTTTTTTATCCATTTAATCCTTTATTTATAGACGTGATGCCGTTGAGATAACAAGTCTATTTTACCTACTTCAAGAAGGCAGCCATTTCTTTTATATACACTACCAGTCAAAAGTTTAGACACACCTTTCATAATTTATCGCACTGCTTTGCTATATCTTGGCCAGGTCGCAGTTGGAAATGAGAACTTGTTCTCAACTGGTTTACCTGGTTAAATAAAGGTTAAATAAAAAATTGAAAATAAAATAAAAATACACAAATTTTTGGAAAAAAAAAAAAATAAAGGATTTAAGGGGTTTTAAAAAAATTAAAGGAAAAAAATTTAACGGGGATGGATAAAATTTTTTAAATTTTGGGTTTTTTCCCTTGGAAGGATGAAAAAAAATTTGGTAGGGGGTTTTTGTTTTAATTTTTTGGGAGGGGTGCAAAGGGAGGGGGTTTTCCCAAAACTTTTTTTTTGACCCCCCCCTTGGGCTTTTACCCTTTTTCTTTATAGGGGGGGGGAAAAAATGGCTCGGGGGGTTAGTCCTTTTAAAAGATTTTTTTTTCCACAAAAAAGGGGGGGTTGGAGGGGGGGTTTTAAAGGGGGGGAACGGGGGGGTTTTGGGGAGGGAATTTTAAAAAAAAAAACAAAAAGGGGTGGTTTTGGTTCCGGGGAAGGTAAGGGAAATATTTTAAAGGGGGAGTCAAGCAGGGATTTGGGGGGAAAAGGGTATGGGGCCTAAAAGTTGGTATTGCTGGGGAGAGGGTTAAATTTTGGGGAAAAATTGGGGCCGTTGGGCCTAAGTCCCGTTTTTTTTGGCCCCTTTGAATTGCCGGTTTTTAAGGGTTTTTTTAAATTGGCAAAATGGGTTTTTTCCGCGGCCCATACTTTTTGGTTCTTGCCCCGGCGGGAAAAATTTGCCGGGGGGCCCCCAGGGCCTCGCGGCTGTCTTTTTTGAGCCCCAAATTTTTCCCCCCCCCCCTCGGGGGAAACGTTCTTGCGTTTTGCTTGGGGGGTTTTTTTCCAAGCGGTTGGGTTTACCCGGTTTTGGGGGGAAGCCCTTTTGTTATTCCGTTCCGGTTTAGATGCCTGGGACAGGCCCGACCCCCTTTTTTCTGGGAAACCCTTGGGCCAAGTTTATTTGGTTCTGTAATTTTTTTCCCCGGGTTTTGGGTAGGGGTTTTTCTTTCCAGGTACCCGGTGGGGGGGGGGGGAAATTTTCTCGGGGGTTATCAAATTGGAGTGGGTCTAGGGTTCCTGGATAATGGCTACAGACGTGAGTGCTACAGGTTGGTAGTCATTTAGGCAGGTTACCTTAGTGTTCCTGGGCACAGGGACTATGGTGGTCTGCCTGAAACATGTTGGTATTACAGACTCAGACAGGGAGAGGTTGAAAATGTCAGTGAAGACACTTGCCAGTTGGTCAGTACATGTCCTGGTAATCCGTCTGGCCCTTGTGAATGTAGACCTGTTTAACGGTCTTATTCACATTGGCTACGGAGAGCATGATCACAAAGTCGTCCGGAACAGCTGATGCTCTCATACATGTTTCAGTGTTACTTGCCTCGAAGCGAGCATTGAAGTAATTTAGCTTGTCTGGTAGGCTCGTGTCACAGGGCAGCTCGCGGCTGTGCTTCCCTTTGTAGTCTGTAATAGTTTGCAAGCCCTGCCACATCCGACGAGTATCGGGCCGGTGTAATACGATTTGATCTTAGTCCTGTATTAACGCTTTGCCTGTTTGAAGGTTCTTCGGAGGGCATAGCGGGATTTTGTATTAGCTTCCGGGTTAGAGCCCCGCTCCTTGAAAGCGACAGCTCTACCCTTTAGCTCAGTGTGGATGTTGCCTGTAATCCATGGCTTCTGGTTGGGGTATGTACGTACAGTCACTGTGGGGATGACGTCATCGATGCACTTATTGATGAAGCCAGTGACTGATGTGATGTACTCC